TAAGGGATAAACATATCTCTTGTCTGATTATTGTATTTTTGTATTTACTGAAATCGCGATGAATGAAAGTGGAATCTACAACTAATTAGTCTCACCAACTACCATTTTTGTATATACTTAAGCACAAAGCGATCTATGCACATCTCATTCAAATCTAGTTATGAAAGCATCACCATTTAGCCTGGTGAACCGGAACGCAAATTCTCTCCAGGCCAATTTTTCATGTCAAAAATTAGCCACTATCGCTTTTCGTAAGTGTGTATTACGGCGCAGCAACCTGAAGCATAGCAGTATGAGTTATTCCAGTCTTGCTACCATATGTATTCATGTAGACATATTTAGGTCTTTACTCTAGTAGTTAAGGAATAACTCTTGTTATTACAGCACTGTCGAGGTTCTTGTTTACATTTTGTCATGTTTGAAATTACTTAGTATATCGCGAACTGTGAACGTAACTTGGGTTGTGGGGCAAACGGTAGTACATACGTTTTGACTTTATTGCATATAAAGTTTCTAAACTTTTGAGTATTTTTATGCGTAGTTGAATGCCGTGCAACATCACATCCAATTGTTCAATTCAAGTCAGAAATGTGGCATTCGTACCAATGAATAGAACAACCGGCTCTATTGATACACGAGTCAGTGAGATATATACATAAAAGGTTGTTTTAACAGCACTTTTATTATGAATATTACGAAGTAAGATTTCCACAGTTGGGTTGTCTTCCAGGCTTTGATCGGCAGCAACAGTCGGCGTACTATTTTCGTCTTTGGCCGATATTTTTCCATATCGCTTCCGTTTGGTCCGTTCGTTGTTGAGCACTTAGCCTATCAAGCGCTTTTCATGATCACTACAACTTGAGAGTTGAGCATTTATTTTTCTCCGGTTTAGTGGCTGTTAGACACTATTTATTTAATTGCATTACACTTTTTACTCAAAAAGTTGACATTTTTCTCTGCAAGCGTTTGGGACTACAGTGGAGCGCGGGCGCATAGCGGTTGCACAGACGGATTTTGACAAGTAACAATACTCAACACGATGTATCAAGTGCATTGCAATTAGGTTTGGCACTTGTATAACATTCGGAAAATTATGTAGCGGAATTTAAGTTCTCGTTGGAACGATGAGCCAAAAGAGGAATTATCAGTGCTGCAAGGTTTGCTATACGCCGAGTATCTAGTAAAAAGCTGCAGGAAATTGAAAGCAAATTACCACGCGTCGGGTACTTCCTAATTACTGATGGCTAGAGATGACACCTAACAAACTTGCTAAATAATGCACGAGAGATAAACTCCAGGCAGCTGGACTTAACGGCTATTGCAACGCCAACAATGCATGGAGAGCGAATTAGCAGAAGCGAAGTGCAGGATATTTTGCGCTCACCGGGCAGAAGGTATGTATGGGATGTACGATCAGTAAAACTAAAGGAGAGCCGGAAATTGAAAAACCGATAACGTCAAGTCTTTTTGTATAGTGATAAAACATGCATTTCTCGTTCATTAATGGGGTTTCTCCTAGAAAACTGATTCATGGCCTCCTTCATTAGTGCTATCAGTAGGGAACGGAAAAGTAGAATGTTTACAAGATATAAAAGGCGTGGTAGGAGAAGGGATTCAATAATATGGTGTTTAACATAGTTCGGTCTCTACAAGCTTTACTGTTATGTGTATTCTAGGGTTGTTCAAGTTTGGACTGAAGTAAGGCTAGTAAGGCAAGTAAGGCTAACTTGACTGCATATAATTAATTAGTCCAGTAAACATACGGACAGAGCCTTTCTTACACGGCTAGTTTGACAGTGCTCCTGGGTGTTGTCACTAGCCACATCGCACATTAGTCAACGTGTAAAATGATGTTCGTCCCATAGTAAGATCTCTACATCCTCGTCTGCAGAATTCAGTTAGGTGTTTGGTGAACAGACACATGTGCTCAAGGACGATGGATTTTCCCTCAAGGGAAGGAGAGCATTTAAGTCGGTTGTCTAGTAGCTTAAGTTGCCTTAACTGTTCAAGTACCTGGAATTATGGAACATAATACTCGGTCGAATTGTGTCGGGGGATCGGGTTTTACATGGAAAACAAACGCTTGGATACAAGGTATAAGCATGTGCTCATTTTTGGGTTATGCATAATGCAGTAGCAATGTCGTCGATTTCAAAATTCGTTGTGCGTATAACGCGTTTCTCGCAAAATGGGATAAACACATATGTTAATGTAAATAACTAACGTACACTTAACCTGTTCGACAGGAGGGAGGTTTGGCCGTTATACTGCGTGGATCGGTTGCCTGGGCTTAAGGCTGGACAGGGAGATATTCAGATGGTAATTGAACGGTTCGTTGTGCTCAGCAATTTTGTTGTAAACGCTTCGTCACAAATGAAGGTGACATCATCAGTGCGTAGGTGAGTGGCGTGCAGTAGCGTAGCATAGCTTTGAGAACTTTCTTTGAGATGCACTTTTTTCTTACTCCTGCACGTTTCTTTACTCCACTTTTTGCCGCTTAGCTTTGCACTGATGAAATCACTTTGATTTTTGACTTTGCTTTTGATTGGAGATTGCTAACTGCAGAGAATTGTTAAACCCTTATCTGTAATACCTTAGCTACTAATCTTTAATCCTATAGCGCATCAATGTAAGTGTGCAACTCTACGTCGGCCTTGTTTTTGGGAAAACGTTTCCTGCTGACAAGCTTGCACTCTCGAACAGCTTTACTTCCTTTAAGCTTGCCTGGGAAGGAAAGTGCTGCTAGCGTGTACAAACGACAGATTGGAGCTATACCATCCAGCGGCCTGGAACATGGCAAGGCGATACTGGTGAGGCGTAGTCAGACAGATATTAACAGATACCCACAACCGCCTACGCAAATATGAGAATGTAATAAGCGGCAATAGGGCCAATCGCGTCGGTGCTATTAACCCACAGCTATAAACAGCGCTAGAATCCGCACTTAAACGTCGAGTCAAAAGCAAAACCCGACGCTAGTTTTTAATGAACACAAGGTTAGACAAACTGTCTAGGATTAGTGACTGTACTAGGAATGAAGCATGGATCAAATATCTTTTACGCCGCTACCACACCTCTACTGAAGAAGATATATTGATTAAGGGCCTCAAATACAACATCAAAGTTGCTTGCTGCAAAGGCTACTTGGCTACCTTATAACACGCCTTGAATTCAGCTGAACTCTAGGAGGAGTCCCAGCTACAGGTACGGCAGGCCGTTGTTCCACTGCTTACTCGGAATCACTTAGCTTAAATTTTAGCCAAGGGGGTACGTGATGCACTCAGATGTCTACTGCAAGATGAGGGCGTTGTAATTCTACCAGCGGACAAAGGGCATATGCAGTGATAATGGACGAACCGGTTTATTAACTAGGCCAAAGAGGCACGCTCACCGTGGCTGCTTTACAATACACTACTGCACCCCACTCAACTACTCACTAACAATGTCACCTAGATTGGTGACGAAACGTTTGCAACAAAATTGCCAAGCTCAGTGAACAGTTCAACTTCCAGCTGAACAACCTGAGTCTTTAATTCTATATCCAGGGGGAAGTTCAAGTAGAACTTTATCGGTGACCATAGGGCTGTTGACGTCACCGCATGTGCGAGTGTTTGTGAGCTGGCACTAGGCGAAGTTACAAATGAAGATTCAATGAAGGCCATTTTGGGGCGGTCGATGGACAAGGTCAGTCAGCGACCATTCCGGCCCAAGCGGAAATGTTTCATAGCATGTTGCAAAACTCTGACGAGGCCAATAAAGGATGGTTGGAGAGTGTGCCGCAATGCGTTAGCACGGAAGTAAACGTGGACACAGATAGATACTCTGCTATACATTTGCATCTCTTCGGTCTGTTTAAGAAGTGGAGTCAAATGTACTGAATGCATGCCTTTTGCAAGGTAGGATGCAACGTTAGACAGGTACACACACGCCAATGCGCGATATAAAACAAGTTCCTCTGGAACGCAGGTTGGCTTCAAGGCTGCTGTGAATACATAAGAGAATAATTAAACTCTTGCACTCTAGTTATGGTCTGACAAGGTGCATGGTGAGGCTGTAATTATTCTGTGGATGCGCTCGTTTAGTGCGCTACGCTGTAGGATCATTAAAACGACAGATAAGAGGTTGAAAAACGCATAATATTATGTAGATTCGGAAAGAGCCTCAACCATTCGTAGGGTGAAAGTAACCGATACAAGAATGCCAGGTTAACAGTTTCGCAGTAAAGTCTTGTACAAAAACTGCTGTTAGCCTCGACAAACCTGTCAACACAGGTAACACCGCGTGCAAATCTGACTGAAGAAGGCAACAAGCAGCAAGATCTGTGAGCCTGAGGCAGGTAGTGATTTAAACTAATTAAGTTTGCACTGATACAACTTTGAGCGCTGGCATTTAGTGTCTGCGTGAGCTCAGGTACGAACAACTTTGTTTACGCTTAGCCAAACAATAAAGCTTCTTTTTGATCTATTTCTCAAGCATTTGAAACAAACCCCCGAGACATCAAAGCATGTTGTACACTTCGTTAACCTGTGTTTGCTAAGAATGGTCAGTTAATTGTTTAAAAGGCGGTCAAGAAGTTTGGGACATCAGAATCAATTAATAACCCATTCGAGAATCCTATCGATGGCGCATTATAAAAGTATAACTAATGTAGGTATCAGGGCTAAATAAACACCTGTATATAACATGTTGACCCACAAGTCCTTTTTATTTTTGAACCGAACATTTCTCATGTTTTTGTGAGGAGGACTGTTTTATCGACAGATAGAATGAATATTAAACAATTTGGATTACGTTTTACAACCTTAAAGTTGTGCTCATAATTTTAAATTATTTACGCAAAAGCATGAATGTATGTTAAGTATTGTTGATCTCTTTCTTCTGAGAAACATCACTTTGCATTGTCGAACAATATAGCACGCATTTATTCCTTTTTACACGCAATTGCAGTTACTTATGATATCATCTACACTTTATATATTCCTGTTTTTTCATTCCATTAGATAACACAGAACGAGTAATCTCAAAACCCGTGCATATTTCTCAAAGTAATGCTTACAAAAGCCAAACGTGTAATGGTTATCAATATTTTACTAGTTCATCAGTTATCTGTTAAGGTAATTGCAGCGGACTTGGAGTTGCAACTAATAGTTAACCCTTCAATAACTGGAATGCAATTGTTTTACCAGGTGAGCAAATTGTTAGGTAATGTTTGAATTCAGGTTTGTGAAACCGTCGGGATAAAAGAAATTTGGTACTTTGGACTGGAGTTCACGAATAACAGCAAGTTTTCGGTTTGGTTAGACCTCCTAAAGTGCGTAAGTTTACGTTGTACTACAAAACATTTCGATTACATCAGAGTAAATTGCTCCGTTTAATTTACTTTTAGCAGTGCTTATTTAAACATATAAAGTGCTGCCGTATGACAAGATATTTTTGGCTTATTTTTGCTTAACATCATTTTTGTTTAACAAGCGTACTGACGTTTGCCATGGTTTATTGCTTGTTTTGTGCATATGCTGCTCATTTTTGTGTTTCTCTTCAATGCTTAGCTCATTTGGAACACTGAGTCTAAATTTAATTAATTCAACGACAAGACATACCAATAACCAGCTGGTTACAGTAACATCTTGCTCTTTAACTGCACAACACTGTTGTTTCAAAAACATTCTGAAATCATATATTTTCGATTGGTTCCAAGCATTTTTTAGAAATCCGAAGTAGTAATATACTAGTTTCGCTCTTCACTATCAGTCAGGACGCCATATATGTATGACAAACAAACGCCGTTATAAATTTTGGTCTCGTAGTGACGCAAGTAAGCGTAATGTTGACCGGTGAATATTGCTCAAAGTCAATTCTATCATACTGATTGTCTCAGTTGTTTCTGTGAGTATAGCACCGGAGGATTTGTCAGTAGCAGAAACAGCAAACAACTTAATGAGCGGAGTACTTAAGCTTTTTTCAATTTTGCGCGGTTTCTCGCAAACGTATCCTCTGAAAATCACTGTTCTGTAAATGTTTCTTAGCTTGGAGCTACTAAAGACCGATGAAAAATTTCGGCACAAGAATTTAGTTTCCAACGGCTATCCAGAAATTATCTAGTTTTACAGCCATAGCTAACAGCTAAGATAACGAATTGCCGAGTTATTGGAACACCTGCTATGCCTCACAGTTTTCGACAAGAAGCCTTGATTGTGCTCTCGGATGACTTTGACGTCAATTTCTGCCATTTCGAATACTAAGACGTATACGAAATTGTCGGTTTCCATGTTGCTATCTTGCCTCACTGTAATCCTCCGCACGTTCCGTCCTTGTTTGACCCATCAGGTAGAGACAGCCTGAGCTAGGAGTGGGATTCCGCGCATAGTGCTTGGCAAATACAGCCATTATCATTATGCTAATATGTTTCGTAAGTAGTGCTTGATTCGGCGGTCATAAGTTGATGGCTGTGCGTTGGAGCGTCTTTAGTGTGACTTGGAATGCAACGAGCTATCTTGTTTGTAATATCTGTTAAACTTGAAGTTAGCCTCTGCTATTCCGATCACCGGGACAGTATCGGAAATAAAGAGTCTAGTCTTCTCTCTCTCCAAACACTGCAGTAATGAGATAGAGTAGCATTATAAGTGCAAGTACCTTTTCCTGCTAGGACTATTCAAAGAGGATAATGTTGCGAAGGATTTTGGACCCCTTACCAGGTCTGTCCTATTATGCACCTACAAGAAGACTCAAATACGGCATAATTTGACCTCACGCAGCATTGTTCCCCAGAACCGTCATAAAAGTCACCAGCCAACTCGGTCACTCTCGTTACCTGTCAGTACACTTGCAGTAGCTGTGACGCCTACATAGGCAAGCGTGCTCCTTGCCTAGCTTAAATATTGGCTGAACAATTCCGAGCGTGTCTAAAGTGGTTGCCTTGGCAACTGGACAGAGTAGACCAATGGATGAAAGAGAACGGTATTTTCATTACCAAGAACTTAATGCCAACTCATCACCCGTTTAAAACGATTTCAGTAAAGCATTCGACAGGATGAAACATGAAGCCCTCTTGCACAAACTAAGGACTTGCGATGTTAGCGACTTGGTGCATCATCACCACCATCATCATCACATGTTAGCTGAAGAAGAAGGCGTGATGTTAAACAACACAGAACACAGCCTAAAAACACAAAAATTATCCAAACCGTATTATTCAGCAATTGTGAGATCCTGGTTGGTGTGGGCAACTAACCTAGAAAGCGGAAAAAGGAACTCACAACATAATTGCCAATGCCATCGGCACAACACCATGCCATTTAGTGTTTCCAACCAAACATATTCAAACAGAATGCAGGAGGACGAAAATCTCTAAATGATGCCAAATTACCAATAAGTTTCTGGGTTTCATTTGACCGAGTTATTGACTGTTCCTCCCTCCACTGTTTCTATCCGGACTCGGGTCACGTAAACAAAGCACGCTACGGAAGGCAGTATGCTGGCATATGCCAAAATTGGCTCAGCACTGGTCGTCTGGCGCGTGGTATAACGGTGCAGAGCGGTTCACTGGCTTTTTCTGCACAAATTATGTAACATTGAGTAAGCTTATTGCCTACACGGTTTTTGCAAAAGACCTCAACCGAGTTTCTAAGACAGTAATGGTTGTGCTTAACAAATATTTTGCTGTTTTTTAACCTAATGGGCCGCGTTTCGCATCTAAACAGGATAGCTGCGTTGTATACGCTGCCCTTCAGAGCGAAAGTGATGTCGCGCCGGCGCCATTTGTGGTAGAGTTAAGCAAAAGCGTCTCGCGCTTTTTCTATATGTTTCGTGGCCTCAACTTTTATTAAGCAAGCGCTAATATAAGTGCCAATATCTTTGGATTTCTGGACGACATCTATTATATCCCAAGCTAGGGTTAGCGCAAGGGTGGGTCCCTGCTAATTTGTAAACAGAACTATGCATTTCTAGGATGCAAGGCATAGCCCAAAATGACTGATAGGCATTGCTGATTAGTCCGGTGCTGCTTGGCACTTTTTGGAGTTTTCACAGATGAGTGAAATGTCGCCAGCATACTCCAGCTTAGGAAGTCGATCGCCTGCGTGGACCAAAATACCTCGTTGGTCATGACCTTTGAACGCCGTTTCCATGGTTTAATCCTTGGCGATGTTAAAAGCACTGGTCTCAACTTCAACTGGTCTTACACCTGTGGAGATATTGGAGGGCGGCAACAGTCTGCCGTAAGCCGTCACTATTCCAAACTGCATGTGTGAAACACTCTCATAATATTTGCCTGTTGCCGAGAACACAGTTCCTAAGCAGACAGTTTTAAATGGCACATCGATTAAGTAAGCTGAAGGCGTCATTGATGTCGAAGATCACGACTGTGGTGGGTTACTACTAAATATGGCGATGTTAAAACGATTGATTTAATGCCAATATGTGGTCAGCATAACCATGATTTCGGCCAAACCCTGCTTACTGCTTAACAATTCTGCCTTTCATGAATTCAGTTTAGCCTAATGGAAGGTACAATGTTAATTTTCCTAGTGACAATTCAGATTAGACTGCTTTCCTTATCGTTGTCGTATTCCGAACATGAATCTCCTTAAAATTTGAGACTGAAACGGAGTGGCTGCAGATTTTGATTTTGCATACAGCATTTCACAGCTCTAATGGTAAGTTGTGCAAATCATCCCCAAGATCAGTCCCTCTGAATTTGAAGTGAGTGGTAGTAATCTGTTTGTTGCTGCAAACTTATTCACTTTTAGCAGTCCAACCTTACATTTGACTTTTGCGTGGGAAGTTAAATACAAGAAGGCTACGCAGGGCGAAAGACGATTAATGGCCGATAAAGAAGCTAGTAACTGCTTTATTGAACTGCTTCTCAAAGTGTTCGGTTTATTGTTCCACGCGTTTAGCCAAGCTGTAAACTGGCTGTCCAGTCTCGTCACACATAGTTTCGTTGACCCAGGTTTCCTATTGCTCATTTACCGTATACGATAAAATAACTTACGGTGCTTACTAAGAACGGCCGCCAATTTAATTGCCTATGTACAGTGAGATAACCCAGCCTCGAGGGTCACTTTAGGTTAGAAATCAATCTCGCTCTGGAGTCTTTGCGAGTCTCTCTGTGTTTGCTTCCGGTTAGAATGCGTTGGTGATCATCCAGAAGTTTCGTTGACTGCGTAGAGCCCCAGTGTCTAGGAATGCAATCAAAGTTACTACTTGAAGACATTCTGGTTGCAAAATAACGTCTGGTGGAAATGCGACTGGTAACCTTTTAGCTGTGTTTAGGGAGCATTTTTACCACTCGCATGCCAGCGTTTTTTGCTGTGCATACGGAACATTGGCTTTCACTAGTTACTTGGTATCCATAAGCATACAGCGTCGCCGCCGGCGTCCACTTAATCAAACTCGGTGATCTGCAAAGCAAATACGTGGATAGTGTCCACGTTTGTGCTCCAAATCTAGCGACAGTGTTAAACGCAGCCTTTCCAATGTTCAATGTTTACGATGTGATTGACTTTCATCCATGGCTGTTCCGAGACTGTCGTCAACAGGTCACTCTTCTAATAGTTACTGTGTCGGAAATTAAGTTTCGATAAAGCAGACAAGCCACTTCCTATAGGTGTAGCAACCGCGCACCATTATTGTTACAGCAGCATACACCATTTTTGTCGTCCAGATGCAACTCATCCATGGATGATATTCCAACTTGACTGTTCAAACCACCAACCAGCACTACATCACTCATTATCTGTCTGTAAAGAAGGAGTGCGTTTAGTTGTTGATAAAAGTTACCTTACATTGAATCCACACTATCGTTAAGGGAGCTGTAGGAATCAATAACAAACAAATAACTATCGTCCGCGCGCGACTTCGGTACTTTGGACCAGCCGGCCAACCTAACATTACACATCCACCTGTTGATGGGGATCCAATTCATTAAGGTGGCTGCGGCCTGTAAACCCAGTGCTATGCCCACAGCGGCTTGATCATCATTTGCAGCCGCGTCACCTCCAAACAAATGCTTTAAGAAAGTGCCGTCGATGTTGCAAGCGGATAAAGCGCATAATGAGCACAGAGACGATTTTTGCTTAACAGCAGATATCATTTGTTATGGTTACCAGCGCTTGGTAAAATTCTATCTTTTTGCCTGCCTGTAACAAAGCGCGCACGTCGTGGCGTACCAGCCAAAGCAAGGGACCACTGCTTCAAATAGAAACTGATGAACTGATGTTTTGAGCTTTGTTGAATACGGGCTAGTCGAATGAGCCGTAACGAGGCCATGCGATTGCGTGTGAGCCTAAATGAAAGGGCACAAGACTCAAAGAAAAAGGGGAAGGGCCAAGAAATATGAGTTTACAACCCATAGATAAAGTTGTTGAAAGAAGCGATTAAGACGAAAAAGTCACAAAAGTGGGCTGCGAACACGGTAAGACTCGAGGTGTAGCAGCCCGTCTCCTATCTACCATTCTAGACTAGGCAGGTAGGTTGCCGTTGATTATCCTCCGCGACAGACAATGCCCTGAACAAACTTGCTTAAGAGGTCATTGTATTAGGCAGACAGGACACTGGCAAATTTCTCTGGCCTAGACGAGATAACGAGTAGGGGTTTCAACCAAAGTCTTTGGTCTAGGAACCTAATCGTAATGAAAGTGTTTTGCCGCTGGACTACAGATAGTAAGTTCTATGGATTAAATAGTCAACATCATTCCAAGGCCCAGCCCGGAGATCCAGCAGACTGTTGGGCTGACTTTTAACCATTAGTCAAGCTTATATCAGCGGCTCTTTTTATGCAGAAAGCACCATTTAGCATTGCTTGATGAATTGTTGGGATACACAAGCCACCACACTAGGTTAAGTATCTGTCTCTGAGCAACCAGATCAGTGACTTTCCTTTAAATCGAAATGGAACAACGATGGAATAGTGTATTACGGGTTTAGCATTTGCTGCCTATCAGCAAAGCTTTGCTGATAAGGGCGAGTCATCACACTTTGCGCACGAAAACTGCTGATAAAATTGGTAAGGCAAACTTGATCCTGTTTGCGAGATATTCCCCAAACAACTTCAAGTTTGTTTGCGTCACTGGGCCACTTCCATTTGCTGTGACCGCTGCTGCACGTTTGCGCACAAAGTAGCACACGCGGATACCGGCACAAACTAGTGGTACTAGCTTTAAAGTGCATCGCTTACCCTCTATGCTTCGAGCGTCGGGTGGTGAAATATTGGAACAAATTGCCGGAGACGATAGTCGATACGAAATTGGTGTCAGAATTTAAGAGATTCCTTGACGCCCACTTTTCAAACTACAGGTGTAGGGAGCATTTCGCATCCGGATAAGACGTAGTGCAGCTGCAACATGCTGCTACCATGCAGGAATCAGAAACGTGATTTTGCGCACGTACACGATCCACGTACAATGGTGCAACACAGATTTTAATATTCACGCTCTTTAGTTTCAGTATTCAAGATGCATTAGGATTCCTACATTTCTAAAGGCATATGTTTTATGCATATATTGCGTTTTGACTGATGAACTGTTAACATATTGCAACGTGTCTCATATGTTTGCGGTGATAAGGTAAATTTCCAGCACAGCATTTGTGCTGGGTACTGTTGGATTCATTCTGCGTTTAGAAGGAAACGATCAGGTTAACAGTTTGCCTTATACGATTCTGGATAGTGCCGCAGAAATTTGTGCCTGATAAGCTAGAATCTATGACTACCACTTCTGTTATATCCGAGTTGCGTAGTATTCACTCTCATCGAGACATCCCTACTTTAGGTTCCTTCAAGATACGTAGCAATGTTCTGATGATATCACCAGGATTCAAAATGAAAGGTTTGTAACAAAATTACCAAGCTAAGCAAGCAGTTCAACCGCCATCTGAACAACCCGAGGTACCAGTTTCCTTTTCTATATCCAGCGTCTATTCTATTTCTGTGGAGTACAGCCTGTCATGCAGTTGCAAAATGTTTAATACTTAAAGCGGTATACCACTCCTATTGCGAGAACCTAATGTGCGACCGGGTTTATCTTTTGCGGCTAGTATCGCCAACCATATGCATCAGTTCTGAGCACGAACTGTTCTACTCAACTCCGAACTCTCACTTGGAGTTTGACTAGTGCGTGCTACTTACGCATCCACTCTTGGTGCACCTGTCCCTGCAAGGTTGCTCAAAATGGCGACAACGCAAGTTCAGTGAATTCAATGTTGATAAATCACTCAAACAACTGAATCAAACTAAAATCGAACGGACGCTCCGGATTCCATAGCTGCATAATGAAATATTTTTACTGAATGCTACTAGTGAAGCATTGGTACCTGACGGTGTATCCATGCTTTGTTGCTGTAATTTTGAATTCCACGTGTTTTACATAATCTAATCATTTTGCCGCTTTTATTTTTAGCTAGGTACTCTGTATCCTTTGGTTGCGTCTGACTTATTCATCAATAAGCCAGCACTGACATTTTGCCAAGTATGGTAAATATGCCACCAGATTAAGGTTGGGAATATCTCCTGTCATTAGTTTATAAAAACTACAGCGATGGCACCAGTTTCCATAGAGTTTTTCGTGCGAGACCTGCTAAGTGGAACTTTTTAACTAGGTATGCACGCAATGATATTGGACTACACACTATAATTCGGCTATTTGGTTCACTAGATTAATACTAATCATTTAAACAAGAATCAACATCATCCCTGTAGATAACCTTTTAGCCAGAATTTTAGTCCATTGCTCAAACAACATAGGTCAGTCCCAGTGATCCATCATACTCAATCGAATTATAAACATCCTACATGAATAGTATTTCCGGTTCCACGGAAAAGGTTGTCGCTGCCTACGGGATGTTTCACGCCATCCGAGGGGATTGCTGCCGCTTAATGCCAAGGCTCTTTAGACCCATGTTCACCCCGCATGTGCGTCCGATACTAGAACACGGTCTTCCTGCTGCCTACCCAGTTACGACATTTGGGCGTGACATGATTGAAAAGGTCCAGCGGCGTGGATTGAACTTCCTGTCTGCGATAGGTGGTCTTCCATATCCCATTTAGCTTCAACATTTGAATCAGTTTTCTATGGATTACCCTCGCCGCCGCGGGGATTGGATTTTTACCCCACCGTATCCTCAGGGGAGAGCTGGGGAGAGAATTACGGTATACTTTTCCACCTAAACTTTGGGAGTTCGACTAGAAGCTACCGATGGAGAATATTTAAACCAAGTAAACTCAAAGTGCGGTTCATTCTTGCTTTATCCACTCGCGTTGTGAATGACTGGAACTGTTTACCGTGGCGGATCGCTGTTGCGCAAACGGAGGAATGCTTCAGACTACTACTTACTTCCAACCTTCTGAGTATGCTTGGATCATATTGTTTCAGCTACGTGTGCGACGACCTCTACTGAGTTTCCGTTACCCAATAACGCGAGCATCCCAGCAATGAACGGGAAGCGATGGAGCTGGCAGGGGATCTCCCTCCTGCTCTCTGCTACCCAATGAACCCAATGAAGCAAAAATTCCAATGGAGGCTGTGAAGTGGAATCACTCTTATTTAATCGTGTACAGGACCAAAGTGCACATAATGCTCCTTTTTGATGACGCTTTGAGCGCGCTGATAAATACTGCCTTAATTTATACCGGGTTTCATACTTTCCACTTGAGTTAATTGAAAAATTTAAGGCGTGAACATTTTTGTTATTTTCCAGATCAAAAAGCAGATAGATACATCCGATGAACTAATTCAGTTCACTTTGAAAGCCAAATATTTCCCAGAAGACGTGACGACGGAATTGATTCATGAAGTTACTCAGAGATTTTTCTACCTCCAGGTAATGTTCATGAAATGTGAATTGTATATTTCTTGACAGCGCAAAATACAATCCACTAATTTACATAGCAGCAACCTAAATATCGCGTGCCATTCAGCTAGGGACTGATGATATCACGTAGATTAGTGACGAAATCTTTGCAACAAAATTGCTAAGCTCAGTGAACAGTTCAACCACCATCTGATATTTGTTCATTTTCTCGATGCAGTTTTCAGACGCTATTTAGAAAGGTAAATCAGATACATGTATTATAACGACTGAAATTTGACAGTAGGAATACGTGTAAGTATAATCAAACGTTTAACCGAGATAATACCACAAACCGTGGGACCGTCTTTTAGAAGCCTACTTCCATAGAGGTAGTCCCTCAAAAGTTTTCATCTGCACTTCCACGTCCCATCCGGCCATGTACAGTTGTGACTTAAAAGCAAGGAAGATAACACCTGGCTAGGGCCGTAATATATATATATATATATATATATATATATATATATATATTTGGAATAAGCATTCAAGCCATTCATCCCATTCCATAACTTAACTGTTTCTAGTCTGCCTTTTTAACCAATCGCCACTGAATCTGTGAATGTACTGATTAGCTTAGAAGCTATAGTCCATCACGTCAGAAGAGCGGCCCGGTCGTGTCCAAGAGTGAAAACAGGAAAAATATAAGAACAGAATGAACTACCAATAATGGATTAATGGCGCATTTATGTTTACTTGGAAACAGCCTGGCAGTTGGTCTGATTCAATTATTACACAGTGATCAAAGAACACGAGTAATCTTTCGAAGTACTTATGAACAAGGTAAATCTCGAAAGAATTGTCTGGTAAATTCATTAATGGCGTGTGATCGAGAAGCAGTGGAGTTGTTATCAAATCTGACTTCGTGAAGCACTAGGAACTACTAGGTGTACCCGAATGTTTGGTTCTGAGGAAGAAGAGCAAATGGTTAAGAATGCAGAGCAAATGGAAACAAATTGGCAGACAAATTAACACTTCGGTTAGCTTACATGTAGGCTTACGCGAATACCTTTTGTTGTCACTCTAAAAATATATCACTGGTGTTTTTCTTATCATCAAGCTTTAGCCAACCTCCAATAAATCTTTGGCGTCAAAGCAGCACAAGGCTGGAATTGCACTACGCCCAATAATGTGCACGAATAACGCACCTTATCACAAGGTAGCTCGGTGCTCGGCAAAGCTCTTAGAACCCATGCGTAAACTCCTGAGCACGCATTGTTTGAAAGACTCCTTTGAATTGGCGGATATACTGAAACAAACAACACACAACGCGGAGCTCAATAATTCCATAGGTGTGGAATCGCTTTTCACGAATATGCCTCTACTTGGAACGGTCGACGACCTATGCTACTTTCCTTTGAGCCGGAACCTATCAGTGGGCCTTCCTCTGGAGTACCTGAGAGACCCGATATTGGTGTGCACTGAGAATCGTGATTCCAATTTGAAGGGACTATGTATGTATGGTAGGTCTGGCTGGTGTGGCTGAACACAATGACAAACAAATCCGAAACCGCATGCCGTCAACCATGGCCCCATGCTGAGGCTGATGTTGTATTCATGATGCTTCTTCACTGCAGTTGGGCTAAACCAACTTACACTTAAACTAGGTCTTTTTAAGCTGGAAAAATTTCATTCCAGTTTATTTGGTTTGTTCTGCCTACCTGAATAATCTATCAACTGACCACGTTGCTTACGCTAACTGCGCTTATCTTCCGTAACGTTGTGGGGTTTGTATCATATATAAGTAAGATGCGGACATTTTTTCCGTATCGAGAATTCGCCGTAATCAATCTTTATACGTCCATTTAGTGAAGAGTTATGCCACCGTATCTGTATGCATTATTTGATTTACTTTATTTGATGTGCTCGTTTCAAGTGATTGGCTGTTGCTTGATAACCCCGGTGTGGCTGCGCTTGATGTGCATGTTGACAAGGTGCCTACCTGTCTATAACCCACTTCCTCGTCCATATTGGCAGAGGAGACGGTTGGTCGTTGCTGGAGAGGACGGGGTGCCCAGTCCTTGTGGCCGTGCTAGGCTCGAAGTGTGGTTCCATGTACTCAGTGTGGAGCGGACTACGGTCCAGCTACCGTTTTGTGTGTGCTTGATTACCAAATACAGCGCACTTGTCTTTGCCTGTGAAGGAGTGTGGACGGCTACGTTGATGAAACATGGCTCCCCTCTACGTGCCTCCCGGTCTTATTCTTTCGGGTTTACACTGGATATGGGGTGTGTGTTTGAAGCTGTGGGTGGTGCAGCGAAGCCATCCATGGTCCTTATGTAGGCGCATGCGTGCTGTGGCTGGCCACAGTGACAAGCAAATCCGGAAACGGATGCCGCCAACCATGTAATCTCAACTGTTTAATAGCTAGACATAGAGCTAACAGCATCCATAGAGATCAAAGGATAAGGGAGAGTCATCGCGTCATAATCATCGTGACATTGAGTTAATGCTGAGCAACACACTTCAACTACGAAGCCGCAAGAAGAAAAGACTATTCTGATAAAACTTAGAACAAAACATTTTTAGTTCGTTTTTTCGCACGCCGATTTTCTTTTTGTCATTTTTAATGTTTGAAGTATTAAACATGTGAATCAGTACAATACTGTACACAATTTTTCTACTGTTTTCGATTTTGGGCCAATTCTGCAAGAGTGTTAACCCATTGGCACTCCTCATCTTTGGGTCTCCATCCTGGAAGTCGTACGGGTCCAACAGCGGCTACTCACGACGTCAGGGATTTCATGTGCTGTCGCCAAGTATAAGAGTGACCAACACGCGGTCGCCTCCAGCCAGGCTCTTTACTAGCGAATAGATGCGGTAGACGCTCAGGTACCCTGCGTAAGACGTGACCGAGCCATCTCAACGGGCGCAGGAATACCAGTTTGTTGAAGGGAATGCTCACATTCCCCAAGAAGTCACATCGAACCTCATTACTGTTCACTCGCTGTTGTCACCAAACACGAGCCATCCCCCCTTAAGCAACCGTTATCGACGGCAGAAAGACGACGCATGTCTTCCAAGCGAGTCGATCAGGACTCGCTCCCACACAGCAACACTGAGCAAACAGATGCGCTGTAAACGCGGCTCTGTAGCGAGCTTGAAACGTTGCACAATGTGAGAAGCCCCTCTCCGTTATCAGAGCGGTTCTCATCGAGCGCGTGGTGACCACCAAAGTGGCGTTCGTATGGTAACAGGCGACAAACTCGTGCATTAAAATCCCCAGCAACGATAACGACATCCGACTTTTTAGCATTGGTCAAGAGCTGATGTAGATCTCGGTAGGATTGGTCCTTGACCGAGTCGCCACTGCAGTCATTTAGAGCGTACACGGAGATCACCAACAAGTTGCGTCTGTCTTCGCTGTGCCTGTCGATTCTACATGAACCCTGAAGCCGAACTGCACATAGTCGGCTGTTAATCGGGAACCAGTCCAGTAGTGCCGTCTCGGCCTTGCAACTTAGTGCTATACCTAGACCAGCCAAATCCGCTGAGGCTGCTTCTGGATCTCCAGAAAGACGCAGGTGATATCTGGCTTCGTAGTCAGTGGGGGATGTCAATGTAAGCACAGTGCTGGGGTCTTGCAATCGGGTTTCTGAAAGGCAGCAGACATCAATATCGAGAGATTCGGGTGCGCGCTAGACCGGCTTGCTGTTCAATCCGCATGTGTGTCCGTACGTTGAAGCACGTCAGACGGAACGAGTATCGGAGACGAAGAAGAACCATAGGTTGAACTGCGTGGTTCGTGGCGCAAGCGGAATCGCAACCAGATTGTTGAACACTTGAATCGGGTAAAGGAAAGTAAGGATTGTTTACAAACAAACAGTTGACGCTTGATGAAGTCGCGTACATGTGAGAAGCAGAAACGGTAGCTGATGAGCACGTTGTAGTACAGTACATGGTTTTGTGCGAAGGCATGATACTACCCGGTTGCCCAAACCGAAGTAGGGAGTTGACTTACTGGACTCTACCTCGGGCCTTTGACTAAATAACCTACCCGCAAGGCAGTGGGGCGAATTCAGGGAATTGCGCCCATTGGGAGGCGCTGAAGATGTTCAGTTCATGTGTCTTTCGTTTGGTAGCTCACGAAACATGGCCCAGTACTCCCTTTGAAATCAGCACAATTGCTGGATTACAATGCTCCACCGAGGTGGTACGCTGTCGCCGAACACTTTGCTGGAACAGGGTATGTACGAACCACCCAGTTGGCACCACGAGGTAGTTCGGCAAGCCAGCCTTTGAAGGGTTGGCTTACAAACAGATCGACGGTGTGGTTATGGGTAGTTCTTTAAGACCAGTGCTGGCAGATATCTTCTTGGGCATGACTGAAAAGAAAGTTGCTGTCTGTAAGGGTGAAGCAAAGCTTTACACGCGCTATGTAAACGATATTCTCGTCTTCACAAATAGTGAACACTTTAACCATCTTTCTGCTCTCCTGAACTTAATTCACCCTAACATTTCTGTGGCACAGGAGAGGGAGTAAGAGCACAAACTGCCGTTTCCGGACGTGATCTTCAAGAGAATGACCGATGGTACACTGCAGCGCACCTTGTACAGCAAAGCGACCTTGGGGACAATTCCTATATTTTTCCAGCTTCGCCTCAGTTGTATACAAGCGTAGCCTAATAATAACTTCTACAGGGGCAGTCGAATTTACTGTCCGTCATTACTTAAGACTGAAGGAGAGTTTCTATACCGAACTCTGCTGTCGAATGGGTATCCGGAGAAATTCATGCAGACCCATGGCATACCCCCCAATAGAGAAGCTGCCAGTACAAACAGCGGAGAAGAAGGATGTTTATTTATTCTTACCGTTCAAAGGGGATCTTGTGGCAAATGATGTTGGTCACAAGGTCAGGTTCACTCTGATACGCACATACTCTAGCGCCTAACTACGACTTATCCACACTACACCAAGGGTTCCTCTTCACAGTCGTCCGAGTAGCTCGCCAATCAGTTCGGCCTCTAAGATCATCTACCAGTTCACTTGCAGTTGCAGTGACACTTACATCAGCAAGACTGGTCGCCAGTTGGCTCAAAAAGTGGCAGAACACTTCCCATTGTGGCTAAGACAGTTGCTGTCTCACCAAGGTGGAGTGGACCTAATAATGAACCGAAACCCTGCCTCGTCCGTCACTAAACACCTAATGACGATTCGTCACCAGGTGAACCCAATCGATTCATTCAAGGCGCTATTGCGCAACAGGAATCCGACGTACTTGGCAATTGGCGAGGCGCTATTGATAAGATTGAATTGTCCCGCGCTCTGTACACAGAAACAACTGAAACAAGTAATTAGATTGCATTGGACCTGATTACATCATTCACATCAATTTTGTCTGTTTATGTATTTTACTAAGTGTGGAGCGTATTTAATGCGTATTTTGTTCCGCCTGTATTGCGTCTCGACTGACGACAGCAATCGAAATGTTAGTCTATAGCAACCTAAGTCTTCTTACTGCGTTAATGGAATTTATGTGTATGTGTGGTGCCCATGATCAGGACATACTGTCAAGATGCAATCTAACATCCCACATCGGTTAATTAAGTGTAAAATACGACAGCGAGTTTAGTTCGAATTTCGCCCATCAAACTTAGGCGGATTAGAAAAATTTTATGAGTATCACAAGTCCATAGCTGAAGCGATGCTGTTGCGAATTAAAATCTGAATATTACCGACGGTCTAGCTGAAGCTTACTCATGAGTTTAGTACAAGTGAAAGTAAAATACACCAGTATTCCCAAACAGTTTATTCATTGTCATAAGTAAATAACTATATAAATGGGTATATTTCCAGACGGGCAGGATACGTTCCCTTTTGTGAAACCACATGCTCAGGATCATTCCCTGTAACAACATAAGGAATTTTAAATGCCTTACTCAACATAGCATTGCTTGTATTCAAGGTGTTCACGAGTTGCATTCATCAGTTATGTTAGCGACATTCGTTTCATTTCGTGCAATGCTTGATCGCTTTGTGTCATTGAGCACTTAATCCTGGTTAGTCTCCATGGAAGCAGCTGCTGTTCAAGGAAAACTTACCTCTTTTTTAAAGACAGAAACTACACTTGCAACGCATCTGTTTTCATTTCAATAAGGTCAAAGAAAGCATCCTATCTGGAGAAATACTTTGCTCTTTTGAAACCGCTGCACTTTTGGCTTCGTACGTCTGCCAAATCAAGTATGGAAAATTTGATTACGCAAAAATGCGTCGGGGGTTCCTAAAGAATGAGCAACTACTTCCGAAAAAGTAAGCAGCTGGTATATGCGAGCAAGTCGGATGGCAGTCAGATTCACTAAATTAGTCATTATGTTGACTTTATGACCGCAGTTTTTGATTCATTTCGCGCACACGAATGGGAATGAGAACGCTTCGGGAATCGTTCATTAGATTCGCTTCCACAGGCGGTCCCGCCGGTCACCTGAAATTGCACATTTGGAACAAGGAAGCTGGTAACTAGTGAACATTCATATCAAGCCGCGCATGATCAATTTTTTAGCATTTGCTCACAGGTGTGCAATTGAAGTTATGTAGATTCTTTTAATTAGTGGATCCAGACTTAGACATATTTGTTCGTTTGATAGTTTGCCATTTATCCACAGTAATTAGACAAGTAGCAGAGGATAAACAGCGATAATCTAATGCACAATAAAAGCCGCTGCTGTCATGTGATATAAATTTTTGGATTACTATGTGCTGTTACCTGTCAGGTGACAAAGCATGTGTTTATATCAGTAGACACCCAAGCATAAAGTTAAGAGTACAGAGTACTGTAGTTATGACACATTTTACCGATTTTTATAATGCTGCTCCGCCTCATGGTTTTGGTCACCTGCGCAGATATTGTACTTGATAGAATGGCTCCTGGGAACTGCACGCCAACTCTCAGCTATAGGCATAGCCAGCAGTTCAAATAAAATACAGTCAAACCTTCCCGAGGCGACCACTCAAAGGAGCTATAAAAATTGGTCGCTTTGGAAAGGTGGTCGCAATGGACAGGTTCATGTATAGGCGACAGTATTCACGATCGACTCTAGATGGGATAAACTTCCAAATCGCGAAATAGATCTGTAAACCGACGGCTTCTATAACCAGTGTTAGCTTATAATTAAGTCAACAACGGTAATAAAATAAATAAAAAAATAAATTTGTATATTTACCGACGGACGGTACACGGGAGCGATAGAAGTGTAGAATGTGGGATATATGAGTAATAAGAATGCAATCAACTTACCGTTTATGAATGAACATTTTAAAAACCGACCTACAGCTCATCAAAATCCAAAAGCTTTGGAAAAGTCATGCACATGCATTTCTATTGTCATAATCATTTTCCACCGGGTGAAAAAATCAGGTATAGTGGTCTGTTGCTTCGAAGTCGAAATGAAAGATGAATTTGGTTTTTCCCTCAAGTTCATGATAAGTTCAAGAAAGTCAGCGTGTTCGCTATGTAATGCGTAGGAGCGGGAAATATCAACAGCTCCTTGTGCGTCTGTGAATGTATACGTTTTCAGCACATCTGTAGAATCCTGTTCCTGCTCGTCGTCTGATTAACTTTTCACATTTTCTGCTGCTAAAATTCATGTGGCAGGCAGGTCCCAGTTTATTACTTTTGTGTTACAGGTTTGATCATAAGGGGCAATCATATGGCTGTTAGCAGTTGGCATTTAACAATTCCTTTGTAACAGTATCCAAAGCAATAAAAGTGGAAGAACCTACGATTTGCTCTCATATCTCGGATCCAGTTTGCCTTGCTCTCTCAGCATCTATTTCTGTAGGACAAGGAAACCCTGTTTAACAAAAGCACTTAGAGATTGTTGAGTTCTCCACCTCCTTCCAGAACGCGACGTCCAATAAATTTACTCGTTTCATGTGTTCTGTTCCGGATATATCTTTGTGGGATTCCATGATGCAGAAGCTGTATTTTCCTAAACTTCCATCTAAGCGCCAGTAGGACACTCTGGTTGAGGGGTTGAACTAACACAATGGTGTTGGGTGGCAGGAAATGCAATTTGACATTAACTAGCTGAAGTTTGGTATGACAAGTGGCATCGTCAAAAAACTGTACGGTGTTGCGCTTTTTTCTGCATTTTTCTATCAAAAATTTGAAGCTAATCTTCGAAGAATACTGTAGTCCACCATGTCATTTTAGTATTCTTATAAACTACTGGTAGATGTTTTCCTGTTGATGTTCCTAAAATTTCGAGGGTTGGCTGATTTTCCATGCACTAAGGCCGGTTCTTCCTCTTCCAAAATGCTAGTGCACAGCATAACTGTGATACACTGCTTACTACTTTCCCCACCAGCGCATTTTTCTTCTTTGAACAAAAGGTGTTATACGATGTCGCTTTGAATAACAAAACAGTTTCATGTAAAGTAAAAATGTCTGGGCCTGTGTAGCCAGCACGAATTTCGGGTAATTTTAATGTCCAGTCGGATGCAGCACACATTTGAGTTAGCGCTTTCGCCCAATTGCTCACCAAACACAAGGTTGTATCTACTGCAGCCAATAGTTTGAAGGTTTAAAGTCTGGTATATACAATAATTTATGGAAATCAATGCTCATATGGTGCGTGAACTGTTCGCTGAGCTTGGCAACTTTTTTGCAAAAGTTTCGTCACCAATCGAGGTGACATCATCAGTGCGTAGCTGAGTGGCGGCGTGCAGTAAGGTGGAGTAGCCTAGAGGAGTCTCGGTGAGAATGCGCTGAGCGTGGTGGGAGTCCGTTCTTTATACCGCTATGGTTAACCGTGGAGACGAGCAATCCTATTGGTTGGGACTTCGATCCGCGTTCAGCTTGGTCGATGGGCAGATGACCTTTGATCTTGGCGCCATGTGTTTCGTGGTCTTTATCTGCTTGCTCTTGTGAGCGAGTCTGTGGTCAGTTCTGGTGGTCCAGCCACACGTTCCACCGGATTCAATCGACCGAGTTGGCGATCGTTCGCCAGTGGTGTTGCGTATACTGCGTTCAGTTTGATGTGTCTATTGATTGAATTCGTTGTTGAGCACCAGGCCTCCAAAAACTCCCTCTAGTGTTTTCCCCATCCATGTGCTAGGATCTTCACATTCTCCAGATTGCAGTGATGATCTTCTTGATATTCATACGCAGAAACCAATGCGTGCGGATCATGTTTTTTGACGGCTGCCTTGTGTTTGGTGATTCGTGTACAGAACTTTCTTCCAGTTTGTTCGACGTAGTTTTTTATCGCAGTTGCTGCATTTTACCTGATAGATGATATTGCGTGGGTCGGCTTGATTGACCTTTCTTTGGGTCATGAGATTAAGTTCCTTAGGGTGGCATTTGGATTATGAGCCACATAGATTCCATGTGACTGCAGCAATCTTCCGGTTGGTTCGGAGACGGTCTTGATGTAGGGAGCACTATCCGTTTGTTTGCTTGCTCAAGTGACTGCTGCTGCTGTAGTTGCTGAGACATTCGTTTCTTTACGCTTCTCCTGATGAAAATTCTCTGCTAACCGTTGTTTTTAAACACTCGATCTAGGTGCTTAACTTCTTGTTTTCACGATTTCTCTGTGCTGCGATGCGTTTCCGCTCTTTTGAACAGGGTTTGAATACAGCTCTTATTGTGATTCATCGGGTGGTTGCTGTGGTAGTTTAATATCTGGTCGGTATGCGTTTTCTTTCGATATACGCACGTCTGCAGAGATCGGTCGATATTCCTAGTGACCAGTACATTCAAAAATAGTAACTTGTTATCCTCCTCTAATTTAATCGTAAATTTAATTTCCTCGAATGTGCTGTTGAACAAATCGTGTGTGGTCTGTACTCTGTTCCATTTTACGGTGACAAATGTGTAGTCCATGTATTGTATCCAGAGTTTTGGGCTGATAGATGGCAGTGCAATGCGCTCCAATTTCTGCTTTACAGCCTCTTCAAGGAGCCCCGAAATTGGGGATCCCATGGGTGTTCCTCTCAGTTGCTGGTACACTTGTCCATCAAAGCGGAAATAAGTGACCATGCAGAGGTTCAGGAGTTCCAAAAAGCTTTCTGGTCGTACGGTTGTCGTTGGTCTTAGTTGATTCTCAAGGAGTTCCATCATGGGTTTTTTGGCCAATTCGTGACCTCTTGAAGTGAAGGGTGCGGTGACGTCGAAGGAAAGCATCATTTCGTCGTCTTCTATCCTGGCACTCCGCAGTTTTTTATGGAATTATTCAGCATTATTGATGCTATTCTCGGATCCAGCAACCGAACATTTAAACCTCCTCCACAAATTCTTCGCTAGGTTATATGATGGGGTTCCGAGGAGCGAGACGATTGGTCGTAGTGGGACCGCATCCTTGGGTACTTTTGGTAGTCCATAGAACGGTGCAAGGTTTGTATCGTCATCTTTCATTCTCTATCTATCCGTGGCGGTGAGCTCGTTCTTTTAGTTTCTTCAGCGTTGTGTTGATTTGGTTGACCAGTTTTGAACCTGGATCTTTCTTGAATCATACGTCTAGCTGATGGGATTGTTCTTGCCAGTGCTGTTCAGCACCATTTTCATCAAGGTGCGTTTTTGTCCTCGTTCCCGTTTTTCTACTATTCTTTTTTCAGTGTTGGTGCGTTGTGCCCAAAGTCTTTCAAAATCCCGGCTTCCTCTATTAATTTTAACCACTTTGCCTTTTCTACTCAGAAATTTTCCGCCAATTTTCTCGAACTTTATCCCTCTTGACTTTGTCGAATTCTTGCTATTCGTTCTTTAATTGTTAATGCCTTTGGCTTTGCTGAGTTGAAACTGGCCATGTTGTCCTTCCTAAGTATCCTCAAAACGAATTATAAAACGAACGTGTATATTCCGTAAGGACGTAGCTTCAAAGTACCCGCTCAGTGTTGAAAAGCAACTTGTTACGCAGTTAACAAATACACACATAGAAAGTGAGTCACAGTACGTACGACTGTACAACGATATCACAAAATCCAGTGTGCGCGAGGGGAGTCCACGGCTCTTCTGTTGGATAACATGGCTCTATCCGAAGGGTGCCCTGCTCAGCCCACAGCGGGATATTGCGTTAGTTAGGGTGATATCCAAGGAGTGATAATGTGTCACTGGACAAGTCTGGTGTGAAGACAGTCTGACCCCTGGGGTGGGAATATACTAGTGGTACTGGGGGAGTTACGCAACATGAACAGATCAGTTACAACCGCGGGAGTATTAATAAGCCTATGGGAAATCGAATAAGAAGACACAGTATGCGTGAACCTGGGCGATGAGGAATTAATCCAGGGCATATGGTGTGGTTTATGGGTCA